CTTATTCCTATTTTTCAGGAGTAAGGCTCAAATATGTTCTGTGGCATATGGTACCTTTTATCGTATATAGCTGGTGGTGAATGAAGCAGACAAATGACAGTCATAAATCATAAGGAGTACCAGAAAAGTAATATCCCTTGATCTCTAAGGAAAGATGGAAGATTTAGAAAGACGAATACTTAATTAAAGATAGAAAATCATGGTCAGCACAATTTACAATTGCTTTTGCAATTGGATGAAGACAGTCATATCAATGGGCATTTTGAAGCACACAGCATTAGCTACAAACCAGTAATTAGAAATGGCTCTGTGATTTTAATTTAAAAGCACTAAAAAAAAAGAACACATTTGTTTCCTGTGCTGTTAAACTTTTCAAGTTTAATGAATGGATACTTATAGAAATAGAGACTATCTTGTGGTGATGGAATCACCTAGCCTAGTCACACAGGGCTGTCACTGCCTCTGCACTATTTGGAAGTTTGGTGCTTGCTTTGCTGCAATTCCATGCTATCAATGGGGAAGAAAGATGTGCCACAGAATTACAGCAAGTTGGAATAAATACAGAAAAACCCAGACATGAGGCACTGTATGGGCCTTCAGAAGGTCAGTAAAGGTAGAAAAACGAAAGTAATGCTGGCAGAAAGGAACACCGAAAACATAGGCAATGAGGTTGCAGTCTGATGGGGTGAAACTGTGACAGATCAATGTTAAATTAATAAAGAATGTGGCTGCAGTGTACTAGGACCCTGGATCCTAATGTTTGTTTTAAATATTTTAGAGTCAAAAGTGCGTGGGGGGGGTTATCTTGGTGGGAGGGCACATGTGTCCCAAGACACAGATTGTGAATGGGCAACATGGTGGAGTTGATTTTCTACTTTTGCCTGTACACAGGTTCCTGACCTCAAACTCCTTGTACCATGTTTGCTTAGTGAATGCCTCTACCAGCTGAGCCTTAAATTCTTGCAGCCCCACTAACCTTTATTATTTAAGATTATTTTAACCATTACACTCTTCTCAAATTATTACTAAATATTTAACCATATTAAGCAGCTTTAAAGCATATCATTAGTCTCAAATAGAAATAGTTTGATTACATTTTACTGTATATAAATCTTATTCTTCCAGTAATTAACTTTAGTAAGTAGCTGGAAGAAAAACTTCTAGGATGTAGATTTCCAAGATCTGTGTTTCAGAAAACAAGGTTTTATTCTTTATCAAGAGATTACTCTATGGAGATATGGAGAAATCTTTTATATTTAGTTGTGTGTTTAACATGTGTTTCCATTGGCCTATACAGTCATACATGCCAAAACAGCTGTTTTTTTCCTACTTAATTTTTTCGTATATTTTGAGCTTGTTTTCCCCTGCTCTAACTCCTCCCAGATCCTCTCACCTCCCCTCACCCAGAAAATTTTATGAACTCTCTCTCTCTCTCTCTCTCTCTCTCTCTCTCTCTCTCTCTCTCTCTTTCTCTCTCCAAAGCAAAACAAAAACAATACCAAACACAACATAAAATGAAAAACAAAATACCAAACCAAACAAAATGAAACAAAATACACATACAGAGACTAAACCAAACCAAACAAAAACCCCATATGGAGTCCGTCAATACTAAGGGATCTATGTATTAGAGGAGGCAGTAATATTGTAAGAGCCCAAGGTGATGGATGACTCCAAGGAAACAGTGTCTTGCAGACACAACAGGGAGGATGAACACATGAACTCACAGAGACTGTGACAGGATGTACAGAAACAGTTCTTAACAATGAATGAAGCACACTAAAGGGTTTGCAACTTTAGTCCACTTATCCTGCAACACATATGTGTGAAAGTAGTAAATAGGGACTTTTTGTCTTCCCTGCTTCTCCAAATGATCGCTTCTCCTTTACATCATGGTCCTCATAATCTCCTTTATTGTGACTTTATCATGCATGATAATGCACAGCCCTGAGAAGACAGGTGCAAGCCCTTTCCCATAACCCCTTGCAGTGTTACATAGCTGTACTTGTCTACATTTCACAGTTCTGATGGTTCTCTACCCAGCTTATTATTGTGTACTACCTACTATTCTTAACATACAATTCATATATTCCCCCTCTTGTTCCTAGATCTTTTACTTTTTCTCCTTTCTTTTTCTTTTACTGTAAAGTCTGTGGCTGCAGACAGTATCCCAGCCTCCCCCTCCCAGCTATCTTCCCTACCCTGACTTTCTTTCTCAGTTGATCTAATACTCGCCTACTTCCCTTCCACCTTTAATCTCTGTGACTATTATTCTAGTATACACCATATTATCACTTTTTGTTAAATCTTGCAAGACTTATTATTGTTAAAGAGGCTGTTGTTTTTAAGGTGGATAATGTGCCATTAGCATAGAGGATCTATCCAGCAGTTTCAGGGATGGCTCAGCAGTTAAGAAGACTGGCTGATCTTCTGAGGACCCAGCACCCATATGGTAGCTCACAAACATGTGTAAAAGTAGTTTCAGGGCATTCTTCTGGTCCCTGAGGGTGCCATGTATGTAAGTAGTGCACAGGCATACATACAGGCAAAGCACCTATACACACAAGATAAAAATTTCAAAATGGACACATCATAGGAGACATAGACTATCTTAAGATACATAGAAAAACTGAAATAGTTTCTTATATTGTACCTGACATTGTGGTGGAATAAAACTAGAAATGAACATGAGAAATACCAGGATATGTACAAACTTGAAGAATGAAAAATACTAGTAGACCATGGGTGAGGGAAATAAAGAGATACTGGAAGACTCCTAGAATTGTATAAAAATTAAAACATAATATTCCAAACCTTGCAGGGTAAAATAAGAGCAGTGACAAGATGGAAGTTCCTAGCTACAAGTGCCTGTATTAAAAACATCAGAGATCTTACATAAACCACTTAACAATACACCCTTTGTACCTAGGGAGACAAGAACAAATCAAAGCCCAAAGTAGGTGATGGAAAGAAATAATCAACATTAGGACAGAAATTAGCGAATTGGAAAAATTAAACAACACACATGAATCAATGAGAAAAAGGTTTGAAAAGATAAACGAGGTCAATAATATTTAGTCAAATGATCAAAAGCATCAGAAAACCCAAATCCACAAAGGACGGTCTCTAAAGGGCGACATTATAGCAGATCCTACAAGAGTCAGAAAATCATTAGTATATATTTTCAAAGCTTATATTTCATTAAATTGGAAAACTGAAAAGGTGAGTTTCTAGATGCATGAAAATTAAATTAACAGAACAGAAACAATTTAAGCAGGTCTAACAGTAACAAGACTGGAAAATAAGAAAAGTCTCACGACTAAACCTGCACACTGCTAAATTCAACCATGTCTTTAAAGAAGAACTGACAACAATGCTTCAAAAGCTGTTTATTCTACGAAACAGAAGTGAGAAGAACAGTACTAAACCCGTTCTACAAAGCCAATATTACGCCAGTATCAAATACAGGATGAGACACAACAGAGGAAAGAAAATTACAGAACAACTGGCCTGATTAATATAGATTCAAAGATAATCAATATAGCATTTTAAGAAAACATTCAAGTACACATAAAAAGCTTCACCATAATCAAGTCCGTTTCATTCCAGAGGGATACATGGATGGTTCAACATATTCAGGCAAATAAATGACACATTAGACAAATGGACCTAAGGACAAAAATCACATAATCATTTCTCTGTAAACTGTGAGGGGGAAATGTATGGGAAATACTTGAAGATATATGCACAGGCAGACACTTTTTTTGGGAAGGGTACCAATTGCTCAAAAGGGAAGAACTGAGGTAAACAAATGTGACCCAATGATGGTAAAAAAAAAAAACAACCTTCCATACAGCAAAGGAAACTGAGTTAGGTACAGAGAACATATAGAATTGGAGAGAAACTTCGCTAGTTGCATACCTGTCGAAGGTCTGGCATCTAGAATATACAATGGAAAACAAAAAACAAACAAACAACCCCCCAAAAAAACTAAACAAAGAAATGAACAACAAAATCATTAAATAAAAGACTGAAATGAACAGAAAGTCTCAAAAGGTAAAATACACATGATAGGAAGCTAACCTCACTAGCAGGGAAGTGCATTTTCTTTACAACTGGAATGACAGTCTTCAAGAAAACAAGACAGCTGGTGAGGATGAGGACAAGAAAGCCCTTGCGTGTTACTCGGAGAAATTAAGCTAGTCCAGTCACCATGGATGTCAGCACAGAGGATTCTCTGAAACTTACAATACAACCAAACTACACCACTTCTCCCAAACTGTAACTCAATACACTACAAAGATAGTTCACAGTAATGTTTACTACATTGCATTGTGCACAGCAGCTAAGCTAGGGAATCATCCCAGATGTCCATCAGCAGAGGAGTGGATGAAGAAAAGACCATTTATGTACACAATGGAATTTGTTGAGCCATAAGAATAATGAGATTATGTTGTTTGCAAGAAAATAGATACGATCAGAGATTATCATATTAAATGAATTAAGTGAGTCTCAGAAAGACAAATATCACATTATTTTCCCATTTGAGAGTCCTAGATTAAATATAAAATTGTACATAAAATCAAATATATACAGATGATAGGAAAGTAGGTACAGAGCTGTCTGGGAACCAAGGGGAATATGGTCAAGAGAGGAATATAGTGGATATGGGGAGAGAATGTGTTCCAAAATCATTACATCATTACACAAAAATGTCCTGTGTGACTCTGTATAATAAAGTTCAAAATTATGTTAGCTTGGATTATACAAAAGTATCAGTGACATAATTAAAACTTGTATGCAACATACAGTATCAATAACATACCAAACACAAAACTACCTCTAGGTTCAAAGTGGTGGGTATTTAACAATCATCATAAACATACCCAAAGGAAATTCCTTTGCATTTAAGTGACAAACCACAGAGAACTCTCCTTTGCCTTTCCTATGGAACACTCCCTACACAGACTTTTCAAGAGAAAGCCAACCAGAATACATACATGATGGTGTTGATGCCCGAGAGCTGCTGGAACATCTGCAAACCACATCCCACAATTAATGCTCGGCGAGTAGGGGGGTAACTCAGCATTCTGCAGATTACAGGTCCAGCTGTTTTTACAAAAGAGAGAAAAGCCCAGCCATTACTTTTAGATCTCATTGCAAATATATGACATTAGCACCATTGGATGTTTCGAAATACAACCTTTATGGAAAATTGGGAATGATGTATTACTTCTAAAACCAACAGCATTTTTTTATTTGTAATTTCAAAAGTAAAAGCAGAGAATTCTGATGATAACATGTTATGGGTACTATTCAGACTCACAGAATCAAATCTGTCACACATTATTTTTCCTTGAATCTTTTTAGTTGCAATTATTAATTATGCCTTCTGCTTTTCTACTTTCTTGACAATTAAACATGACTTAAAATGCATCCATGTGGGACCGTTACAAAGTAATTGGCAAAAACAAGCACACGAAATGGCATTTATTCCAAACAAATAGGAACAAAATTCATCTCACTCTACTCTATTGACATCTAGGAATCTAGGCTTGATACCAGTTCTGGTTATGGCAACACTGAGGATTATCAAAATTCAATAAAAGAAAAATAATGTCTATTGCACATAAATATATGCATGTATGGAACTGTTTAAAACTCAGTTGGTCCTGAATAGGTATTCAATGATCATTTTAAAATATAAACAGGGGCTAGTGAGATGCCTTAATTGGTAAAGGCACTTGTCACCAAGTCTGATGACCTAAGTTCTATCCTGGGGACCCACATGACAGAAGGAAAGAAATGATGCCTACAAGTTACCCTCTGACCTCCACATGCACACTATGCCATGCACAAGTAGGCAAACATGTGCACATGCACAAACATACACACATACAACATACACTCATAAATAAATGTAATAAAATATAAATGGGATTTTGAAAAGCTTAGATCAGTCCTGCACAGCTGTGGTATCTTAGTCACTGAGGTCTCTAGTAATGTAACTGGCCTGTGTCATGGCTTCTACCTGCTCCCCCCAGGGTTTGCTACAGAGTGCCCACGAAACACTAACAAGTGTTGTATATGGATCCTCCTAGGATCCAGGACATGTCTGCTGTTAGAGGAAATGGCCTGTGATTCCCCAGATGCCAACTGCCTAATTAAAGCACTTCCCCGATGGTCCTGCTTCATCACCAAATCCTAAACTAATCCAAGGGAATTAAAATCCAAGTAAATCTCAGTTTCAGGAATCTCCTGAGAGCCACATATTTAGTTTGCCTAAGTGATAAAGAATGTGTGCACTCTCTCAATAATAAATGATAACAGTGAGATGTCCAGCATTAATTAGAAATGAATGTTATAGTATGATAAAAATCACAAAGCTTGACCTACTGAAAATGTTTCTGTAATGCCAAGACATTACAAATCAGTCTAAAGGGGCACTGATGGTCACTAAGAGCTCAATAAAATGAACTTATTTAAAAAGCAGGCTGAGTATATGCCATACATAAAATTGACTTAGATTCACTCAAACTATTGGACAACCAACTGCTTTAGAGAGGCTTTGTGAAACACGGAAAGGTCAGGTATCTTACTGTGACAGTATATATATAAATATATATATATATATATATGTATATCATGGATCACTTGCTTGAAGGAAGGTGGGCTTCTGTGCAAATACAAATATCTTTAAAGGAACTGCAAAAACACCTACCTTTCCCCTAAAGTCAAAATATTTGTTTTTTTGTTTTTATCGGTTTTTTTTTTTTTTTTTTTTTATTATATTAATATTTTTTTTATTTTCCATTTTAAATTTAGATAAGAAACAAGGTTGCTTCACAAGTCAGTACGAGGTCCCTCTCCCTTTCCCTCCCCTCCTCCTGTGCCCTCCCCCCATCCCCCCCCCGTTATCCCCTCATTCCCCCAGGGAGGGTGAGGCCCTCCATGGGGGTGTCCATAGTCTGTCATTTCATATAGGGCAGGGCCTAGACCCTTCCCCAAGAGTTCAGGGTGAGAGTGCACCTCACATTGTTCTATGGGAGTCCAGAGACCGTGTGTATACTTGGGATGGGTACTGATCTGCTGTCCAAGGCTCAATAGATTACCTAGGCCTCGAGACATGGTTTCTCTGTATTGTTTTGGAGGCTATCGGTCCAGCCCGGCCTCGAACTCACAGAGATCTGCCTGCCGCTGCCTCCCGAGTGCTGGGATTAAAGGCGTGCGCCACCACTGCCCGGCCAAGTCAAAATATTTGTATAAAATATCACTTACCTTGTGTATTAGGAATGAATTTGAAATGATAACTAAATCAAACTATACTTGTCTTGGCTTTCTATAGTCCAAAAACTACCTTTTCCTTGTTCAACAATTCTGTAACAGTATTCAAAATGCTGAAACTATTTCCATTATTACATTGCTCATGAACTGATGGTCAGGTAAGGTCACAAGGAGAAAATTATAAAGAATTAGGACCAAAGTTGGCCTTGCCTTAGTATGAAGGGGTGGGCTAGCACATGCTGTGGAATATTACTTTAACTATGTAAAGATGTGTTACATTTGTTTATGCCACATTTGTTTAATGATATAGCCTCCTGTCCCTTCTCAACTCGGATTCCTACTTTCCTTATACCCACTGGCCATCCCTCACTAGTCTCTATTCTCACTATCTCCACTACTCTCCCCCCTTTTCACACAGATAGTCCTGGTCATGTTCAGTATGGTTTTTGTTTGTTTGTTTTTGTTTTTTCCCTCTCTGCTCTGGACACTTCCCGATGCCTCTGGATATTTCCACTTTCTTATGAGCAATGAAAACCTTCCCCCAATGGAGCAGATATTTCAACAGGTTCTTTACTATGCCCTCTTGCATACAGGTGCAGCTCTCCAAAAACTGACATGTGAACCAGAAAAGGGAGGCACACATCTTCAGGGGAAAAGAAGTCATGCTTTGACGGCTTGAAATAGATCTCTAAAACTAAACCCAATTAATTTAACAAGTCCTCACATTGGAAATCACCCTGAAAATGTTCTTTGACGATCATGCCATTTAGAAATCATCAACCAAAGGGCACTTAGAGAACAGCTCCTAAAGCGGAAACTCTTGGGTAATTCTAACAACCAAGGGACAACGTAAAGAAGGTCAAAGTCTATGAAAGCACAGCATGCAAAATTTGTGGAATGGAGCCACAAATCTTAGCTTCAACCGAAAAAAACCAACAAACAAAAAGACAAAGGAAGCACAGGCTGAGGACAATAGCAAAGCCCACAAGATAGCAAAGAGCTTGAAGACAGCTGAAATGAGCCAGTGAGTCCAGAAGCTGGTTCCTGGAAAGACGAATCAGTCTGTGAGTTCATCAAGCCAGACCCTGGGGCCAATTGAGAGTCTCCTTGAAATGATCCTGGTTCTGAGCTCTGCCCTCAAATGGCCAAAGAATACATGGGGATTGGTTAAAGACAGATCGCACTAGATTACCTCACCTGTATGCAGTGGAGCCTAACAAAAAGTGCAGTGTTCAAGACAGGGAAAATGACAGGGACTAGACTGACCTAGACTGACCTAGAAATAGATATGAAACATTGGATACCATCAAAGTGGGAAAATCAAGGAACAGATTGCCTTCTTCAGGGAGAACAGGACTAATGATGCCTTCATTCCAACCCAATCAAGCTGTTTCAAGTTGCTTTCACCAGAACTGTGAGACAAGTACGTATTTTTATTCTGAAAATAACTTCTGATTTGTATGTATGTAAATATGCATGCATGTTTGTGCATATGTGTAGACATTTATGAGATGGCATGCATGCAGAGGTCAGAGAACTATTGGCAGCAGTTGGTTCTGTCCTTCTACCTTTGGAGATTGAACTCAAGTTGTCAGACTCAACCCAGGTATCAGGTCCTTAGCCAGTGAGCCACCTTGCAAGCCCAGAACTTCAACTTTTGTAGTCTGCACATAATAGACTCTCCTACAATATTCCACTGTATGGACCCTGTTCCATTAGCATTCGTTTACTCCCTTGAGAGGAAGGTCTCTACACAATGAAGGAGTGCCATGGATGAAATGTTTCCTCCCTCCTAAGCAATGAGCTCAGGGGTATTATGCAAACAGCTCGTATTTAGGCTTGGGATCTTCTGTATCCTGAGCATATTAAGTGATAGTGATAAATACTCTGTTTTTCATTGTTTCTCTGTCGATGTTTTGATCCCTGAACTGTCTTGGAATAAAAGCTGCACAGAATGCCAGTAAAGCACTCACTCTGGAGCAGCATTGCCTAGAGTACCCTGGTCCTGAATCTCTAACTTGACTTCAATTTCTTGACCCCAGTCACTGGGGGGTTGTGATACACTGTTTAAGCTACCAACTTTTGAGGAATTTTTTACAGCAGCCACTGGAGTCTAATATAGAGAAAAAAGTGGGAGAAGATATAAATGACCAGTACCAGGAATAAAAGAACTGAACTCAAAATAGTAATAATAAAACAGGTGTATATTATTTATATTATATATTAATTTTATATTATTATATTATATATTATGTATGTATAATAATATTATATATAATTATAATTTTATATTACATAATTATATATTTACTATATATCACTATCCATATTATATTAATTATATCATGCCATCACATATATCATATTAAAACAACAGACACACACTCCAAAATAGTAAACCTTCAAAGTCCAGAGAGGATCTGAGTAGTCAGACCTACAAGTTATAAAAAAATTAGTAAAAATTTTGGAGGACTGGGAGATGACTCAGTGGTTAAGAACATCTGCTGTTCTTCTATAGAACTGAGTTCAGTTCCCATCATCCATATTAGGTAGTTCCATGGGATCCGACATCTTTTCTGGCTTCTATAGGCAGTCACACACATTGCATATACTCATACTCAAAGACACACAGAAATAAACACACTGACGCACCATATACACACAAACAAACACAAGACATGCAATATATATACATGTAGACACATAACCACATATATATACACACAGCAACACACATAAAATATATACATACATACAAACAGATACACACACATACACACCACAACACAGAACCTGACCCTCAGTCCAAGCTGATTTGTGTCATTTGTTGGAGCCCAAAAAGTATCCTAGAGAGGGTTTGGGAATCAGAGGAATTTCAATCTCTTGATTGTTCAACTAGTTTGATGGTATGTCACATATGCTGAAACTTGTCAATTTACTTTCTTTAAACTTATTTTACAATAGAGTTGGTTTTGAAAAATAATGAAAAGTTTTCGAATAAAAAAGATTTTAGGTATCAGGAAGACCAACATAGTGAAATGGATGGTGACATTCCAAGGCTACAATCCCCTTAAGTAGAAGCAAGCTTATTTCCCCAGAAGCGCTGACTCCGCCCATGCAGGAATACAGAGGAAGAGCCAACCACTGGGGATGCATGGCCCTTACATCTCCAACATTTTACTCACCACTGCATTCCTCCCTGTTTGATCCATTTACTGAAAGACTTTGTCACATACTAAAGAGTAAATGGTTTATTTTATGACTAACAAATTACAAGATCTGGGGTGGAGAAGGCTCCCCACCACAGACACTTTTCAGACTAAATTCTTTGTTGTAACGTAGGTCCTCTGTGGGGAAAGCAGGGCTGTATTGCAAAGAAGACAATCATTCCTCACTTCAAACATCAGTCTCCTCATACCCAATTTAGAGGCCTGTGATATGGCTTCAACCATATACAGCAACTTCTCCCAACACCATAATCAGCTTGGAATGGCAGCTTGATACAGCCATTCTCACTCTGTCAGCTGTTGGCAAGAAAGGAGGACCAGGCCTCACAGGGCACCAAAATATCAATGAGCATTTAAAGTCGTGTCTCCGATACCCTTGGTAGTCAAGACAGTTTGCTATCCTGGCATGTAGCTGTCAGTTAGCACATTGCAGAGGCAAGCACAATTAGTTACGATTATTAACCACCAGGCATATTAAGCACTGCCACCATCCTGATGACCTCACATTTCAATGTCTCTTCATGCCTGCCCAGCCATCTTATCATCATAAGCATCACACCCAGAAAGGCTGCACAGGTGCTGAGAAAAGCTAGGCACAAAGTGGGTAAGGGGTGAAGTGACCAAGGTAATATATTTTCCTGATCTTACCCCGACTCTACTCTGTGCCTGATAAGGAGACTGATTTTTGAACGCTAACTCTCTGAACAGTCATGTCCACTTTGGCAACACAACATTTGAGACTTTAACTGACCCAGACCATGGCCCAGAAGCATAACCAAAACAGTTGTGTTCTGCTCAAACAAATGATGCTAGGTTCCCCTGACCTATGTCTGCCAGTGATGTCATGTTGTTTCCCTTCTTTATAAATGCTGGACAACTGAGCTTCGGTGCCAAGCATTCTCTGTGAAAGAGCCTGATCTCTGTTGCTGGCTAATACAGGACTCTAATTTGGCCTTATAAAATAAGGGTGTCTATAACTCTCTAGCCTGGACTATGATAGTAGCTCTCCCAAGGTCAGAACTAACATAAACAAATCTAGAATATGTGCTAATTGTCAATGCCATTATTACAGGATATTTTATATTTTTGGTTGTGAGCCTAGCCTTTAACAGCTGAGCCATCTCTCCAGCCCTTTACAGGATATTTTAAAAAGTTATAACTGCATCAGTTTATTTCCTAGGCATAAAAAAATGAACAAGTTATAAACATCCTGAGTAAGAACTCTGTAAGATCAGAGCACTTCTGAGCTTAAGAAGGAACCACATTCTATCTTCCCCATCCTCTTAGCCCTCCCTGCTCTTAGAGCCAACCTTAATTATTTCATTCCTACATCCAGAAATTTGAATATTTCTCAAGAAAAATTACGAAAATGGGCTACTGTGACCTCATGACAAATTCTTGTATTTCTTTTTATTTTCTTCTCTTTTTTAAATTTAAATTAGAAACAACCTTGCTTCATATGTCAATCCCAGCTCCCTCTCCCTCCCCTCCTCCCCCACTCCCCCCCATCACTCACCCAGTTCCCACTCTGCTCCCCAGGGAGGGTGAGGCTCTCCATGGGGCCACCCCCCCTTTTCTATTGCTGGACCAGGCATTCATCCATCTCCACCAAGAGATAACACACATGGCCTAAAGTGTCCATGTATCTCAGTGCTCAAAGATCAGTTCCACCATAAGCCCCCATGTCTACTACAGTGAAAGATTCCCATTATGAAGATTAGAAACAGACATGTCCTGGGAAACATTATATATTCAGTCACAAGCTTGACACACAGTTTCTCTGCCTGTAACCTTCTTCAGGTCCAGCCCAGCACCACCATACTGTTGCCAAACCATCTGCTCATGAGGCTGATCAACTCTCTAGCCTGCTGAACTTTCTGGATAACAGATCCACTAGAGTGTTTCATGGGGGGAACAGTGCCAACCCAATCTACCTTTTAAATCTATTTTTACATCACTGCCCTCTGTCAGGCAATGGTTCGTCAATTGTTGTATAATCTGTGTTACCAAAACAAACCTCGAGTCTTCATAACTGCCCCTTAAAATGTTTATTTTGCCAATGTTTCTTCTGATTTTAGATGTCTGGTTATTTGTTTTTTTGCTCTTTGATAACTTCTGTATGTTCTGTTCCTTATCTTTCATCCACATTGGATTTTATTAGGTGTTTGGTTCAGATTTTGTCCTTGTTTTTATCATTTTACTTATTCCTGAATTTAGTCCAGGATCAGGTTAAATAAACAACAGTCAATAACTATTTGCTCAATGAATTTGAAGAAGCAAGGAAGAGAGAAGAAAAATGTTCCATGCAGATAGTGTTGCTGAGAACTTGCAGATGGAGAGATTTGAGTGCATTCCAAGCTGCTAGATGATGCTGTGGTCGACTACAGGCACCACTAAGTCTTGGGTGCATCCATGCTGTTGTCCTCCTCAACAGGAGCAGATGATGTTTGTCATTACAAGCTGGTACCTGGCACACATTCTATTTGGAATAATATGCTGTTGGTATTGATAAATCCAACCCATGTGGTGCAATTCCTTCACAGTCTGACATTTATGCCAATACATTTTGAAATCCTGCAAAGCAATCAATTTGCCAAGATGCCATAATGGGCCAGTTGTCTATAAGTGCATGCTTGCAAGCATATCATTATAAATTAGTATCCAAATGCAATCTCTGTGTTAATCTATGCATTATTAGTCCAGGTCCCTAAAGTAAATAGTTTTTCTACCTGTGAGAACAGGTAATGACAGGGCTTATTGGGTTGACATACTATTTTCTAGAAAGCTTCTATTATTATTACCAAGAACTATTTCTAAACTTTAAAATACTCTCTTAGTCAAGTGCATCTAAATAAATGATGTGGTCATAAATTTATTTCTACCCCAGTAATTTTCCCATGTAAATCTTTAAATATTCTTAACGGCAATGGGAGATTGGCATGCTATTGAGAACTACTGCCCCAGAAAACCATTCTTGAGTAAAGAAAGCATCATTTATTAAATGAGCCATTTAAAAATGCAACTATTCTGCCAATATTCTGCCATTATTTCCACAAACTATCATTCTTAGTAATACAAGTTTCTTTTAGCCTGTACAATTTTTTTAAAAAAATGATTTTACATGTTAGGAAATAAAACTACCCCTGACATAACACTTGCTAACAGCATACAACCATGCAATGTTGATTAGTGCAGT